AAATGTATTATTTGTGTTACAATCAAACTAGCGTGTCAAAAAAATCATTTCAAAACCATTCAATGCTTAAATAATTAAAAAAAATTACGGTTTATTCTCGTTTGGTAAAAAATTGATTTGTTAACTATAAACTGCTGCTTTAGAAACTAACCATAACTTTCACCAATAAATTATAGAACAGAACACAAAATCATAAATCGAATTAAAAGCAAAATAAACTGAAAAGAAAAATTCAATTTTTCTTAGGAAATAGAATGATAACAATCAAAATTATCATTATCGCAGATAAAACCTATATTGTATTATCTTCAAAAGTATCGAGGATTTACAAAAGAAGAAAAAAAAAAAGAAAGAACAATGTAATAAAACAAATAACGGTGTAATAACACAGCCACTGAAAGTAACTCACCACTTTCACCTACTAGAATAACTTTGAATTCTTCCACTGCCATGTTGACTAGCTAGGGTTTTCTGTCCAGCGGAGAAGAACAATACTTTTCATTGAATATTATCGCTTCCGACAGCCGGTTCGAAGTTTCTTACTCGCTGCTATCAAGTTCCTATTGGGGCAACGTCTTTTGTTCGGTATCGGAGATAGAATATTTGGGAATATAATGATATGATAAAATGAGCTGGCTCTTTGCCTCTACCTCAGATTATTTAGTTGTATTCGATAAGTTTTTGAGAGGAAAGAAAATAGGAAATTTGTAATGTTTTTAAAAATAAACTAACATCACTTTTTAAAATGAAACTTATCTTAAAGCTTTATATCAGTTCAAATAAACTTCATTACAATTATTGAACAATTTTAAGTCCTTTAATTAGTAAAAAAACTGATTTTCCATGTGAACAAGTTATATAAAAAAAATTTTTTTAAGTCAATTCCCACTTAGGTCAACAAAGAAAAATTTTAGTTTGGTTACATTTTATTAAATACTTAACTGAAAACTCAGTGTCGCAACAGCTCATGAGGACCAAGGCCTATTATGCCCAACTCAGTATACGCGACCTTGGGCCCTGAGATGCATGAGCAGATGTCTCGGTCAGGTGGTCAGTCTGACGCGAAAACCCCAGTGTTAAGTTCCCAAGCAAGCTTGGTACTCATAAATCAACCCACTGAAGCGATAAAAGGCTGTTACAACCTTGCCCAGCGCGGGGTTTGAACCTCGGACCTGTGGTGTGGGTGTACGTTGCACTAATCACTCAGCCACTGGGCTTCATTCTGTTACTCTCAAACGTTAAATATTCGCTAAAATTTCGAAGCTTTATACGTTTTCCATATATAAGTTTTAAAAGTACCTTAGGTCAACAAAGAAAAATTTATTTCAGTTACTTTTTATTAAATAAGGACAATTAATATAAATATGTATAGACATATGACAGAATCAAATAGTGAGAGAGAAAATAGAAAGCGATTTTCCTTGCAATTTTCCATTTTCCTTTCTATGTAGGGCGTTGGACTTTTGTTTTGTTAATATTTATTTATTCATTTAATTTAATTATTCTAATAAAATAGTATAGTAAAAAGGAAACCACCTTCTAAGATACTAGGCCATCCCAGGTGGGATTTGAACCCACGACTTTGGATTAGACGTCCAACAAGCAATCCATTGCGCTACAGAGACACAACCAACCTTTTCTTTTTATATATGCTGTTGATTATTATTTTCGTTTGTTACTATTTATTCATTAGTTAAATTTAATTAATGAATTTATATTTGTAAAAACTGTATTGACATCAAGTGTCACCAACTACAAGTTTAAAAAAATGTATTTCAACTCGAATGGATGAATAGAAAGTATTTTATTAATGACTGAAAATTTGAACAAGATATATATATATATATATATATATCAAAATTTGGGGGTTTAACACGCACCGCCGAATAAAGCGCATCTATACTTTCAAAATGCAATTTTATTTTTTAAGTAAATTTAAAAACCCATCCCCTTTGTGAAAACCTGAAAGTCACGCGTAATGCTCTTTATATTTTTAACATATACCTTTAAAATTTCCGGAAAATCGATTTTTTATTATTATTTTATTTTATAGAGAAAACCCTTTTCCGATTTTTTAAAAGAAACAGAGAAAACCCCAAAATCAGGGGAAGTTATTAAAAAAAATAAAAAGAGAAAAAGGTAATTTAAATATTGTTTCATTTCGGCCCAGGGTGAAACTGTAAAAGTCGTGGTGACAGCTGCGTTTTTTTGTTTCTAAATTTTCATTCTAATTATTATCAAATGCTTGAATCTAAGCCCCCAAATTTTAAATTTTTAGTTCTGAACATTAACTACAACTTCTATTTACTTTATAAACTGCTGTTTTGTTTTGATAAAGGATTTGTGATTCTACCGCTCGTTTCTATTTTCACACGTATTTATTCTAAAAAAGTTTTGGGAAAAAATATTAATTTTTAAAATTTTTGAATAGAATTGATTGAATCTCCCAAAACGACCATCTGGAAACGTCCCAAGAAAAGGAATTTTATTGATTGTTGAGGTAAAGCTGTAACAGTGTGGATGAAACATCAACAGTGCATCGGGAAAAAAAAAGATTCAGTGAAGATATTGATTATCTTTTTGAACATGATGACGGTTTTGATGGCTTAGAGGTTTATAAAACTATTTGTTTACAAACACAAAACTTTTTTCTTGCAAAAAATGTGGGGGAGATATTGAACCACAGAAAATGTGTTAGAGGTTTGTCAGGTTTTTTTGATTGAATGCAAGAACTGTAAAGATTTTGTTCGTTTAGAAATTAAAAAAATGCTGGGTAAAAAAAAAAACATTCCAGAAATAAAAAAAAACGCTTTGTGTAGCAATGGGGAAAAGACATACGCAGCAATGACAACTTTTTTGGGTGTTATGGACTTTCCCCCTCCAGCTGGAAAAAATCCTATAATAATATTATAAACAAACTGCAATTGTGTAGAAAAAGAAGTTGCAGGTTTAAATGCAAAGTGCAGCTTTGGAAGAGGTAACTTGAAAAATTTCTTCTGATATAATAATTAGTGGAGATGGAACGGGAAAAACCCGTGGCTATTTTTCCCGGTTGGTGTGGGGCTGTTATAGGAGACAAAACAGGAAAGTGTTTTTGGGGAAGTGATGTCTTTTTTTGAAAGGGAGGGATTTTTGGGAAACGAAGAAAAGGGCCACCCTTTTCAAAAAATGGAAAATTTTCACGTTAAAGAAGTTTGAAAAAACCCCAATGGCTAGCTGGCATGATGGAGACTTGGGAAAAGGTATGTTTCCCCCCTTCAATAATATCGCGTGAGATATCATCTTTCATTGGGATTGCGATTCCAAAACATTCTCATCTATTACCGCATCCAACCGTAGGGGAAAATATCACAGTTTCAAAAAATTTAATGTGTTGGGCATGTTCAAAACGAATGGGAACTCATTTGAAAATTAAAACAAATGAGATCCAAACTCGTGAGGGGAAATCGATTGGGGAAAGGGAAGGTTGACCGACAGAATGGTCGACTTAATCACAAAATACATGGAAATGCAATCCGACAAAATAAAACATGCTTGTGATATGCGAAAAACTGTTTGGGCTGTATATTTTATAAATTTAATGACGAAGAACCAGCCAGTTTTTTTTCCTATAGGTCCAATTTTGGTGTAAAAAATCAAAAACAAGATTGAGGGTAGGGGGGAAACTTTTTAAAAACAGAACAAATTGCCAAAACAGCAGTAATGGATGCCATAAAACCCGTATTTTTTGATCTACCAACCAAACCCTACAAAATGTCTTAAACCCAAAAAAAATGAACCATTAACTCATTAATATGGAAATTATGCCCAAAAAATTTAGGTTTTGGTAGAAAGAGTTATATTTCTACAAATGAGGCAATTGTCATTTTAAGATGGCAATAAGGCAGACAAAAATTATGCAACGCTTTCAATGTTTAATTTGGAAAATTTTTTAATTGTAGATTTAAAAGAATTCAAATGCAGAGCAAATTTTTAAACTCCGCCCAAAAAAAAGTGGGAAGGGTTAAAAAAAATGCAATTTAAAGCTACTTGTAAAAATTAACTAAAAAAAAGGGAACATCGTATGCTGGGGAATTTTAACATTTTAGAATCATAGTAATACACTGCATTATATCACAAATTATTTAATATTTATAGTAAGTATTGTAATTTAAAATATTAATTGTTTTTAAGTAATATTTTTAAATTTTTTTAAATTTATTTTGAAGAAATGAACACTTTTTTTGTATTTTTTATTATTTTGTAGCTTTTTGATATCGTTTCGATGCTTGTATTGCATTGGTAAAATATATGTTTTAGTTATAATAATTTTAATAAATTGAAGTTTATTGACTATAAAATTTTACATTGTTTTAATTTAAAATTTAGTTGTTGTTTGAGTAACCAGAATAATATATATATATAACTGTGGTAAATTTTATGTTTGATGTCAATTTTCTCAGAACGTCATTTTTTTTCATTTCGCAGATATTTTCAAAACCGTTCCATGGGAAAATGATCAAATTTTACTGAGATTCTGACCCATATCTGTACTTAAAATAACGAACCAGTTTGAATTTTTTTAAAGAAAAAATTTAAAATTACAAATAAAAAAAAGGAAAATTTTTAAAATTTTATAGTTAAATTTTTTAAAATTTTTATAGTTTACTAAAAAATTTTAAATCAGTGTTTCATGTTCGTCATTTTAAAGATAATAAACCAACACTGAGCAAACATTTCATCAAAAAAAATTGGGAATTTTTTTTAAAGCTGCGCGTAATGCATAAAAACTTGCGAAAAGAAAACCAAAAAAATTTTTTTTGTAATTATCTAATTAAAAAAATTTTTCCAATTAAAAAATTTTTTGTTGGGTATGTTTAAGTAAAGTAATATCTATTTGTTTATTCCTCCTTAATTCCAGGAAACAATAAAAAAAAAAAAGGTTAAAAACTACTTTTTTAACCATTTTCAACTTTTTAAAAGGTATGTGACCCCTTAAGTCATTTACTCGAGGTATTGTTCCAAATTTAGTAAAAAATAATGTACTTCTAGAAATACAACCCCTTAAGTTCATAAGGAATGTTATTTTTTTAAAAGAAACAGTATTTCGATATACATACTAGTCAAATTTTTTTCTATGCTTATCTTTTTTTATTTTTAAAGCTCTTATTTTTATACCCAGCGTATAACGCGCACCCATATATTTTGATCTTATTTTTTGTGTTCAAAGTGCGCGTTATACGCCAGATTTTACGGTAAATAAACATATATAGGGAGAGTGTGAACTTGTAGTAGGAATTGAAAAAAGAATTACTAAAGAAATTACTGAAAGTTACTAACACATTTATACAGACGGGCTTCTTGTAGAGGAACACTTTCAGTGCGAAATTTACTTATATGTCAGTCAAAAGATAAATTGCTTTAGCTATTTTGAATTTTTTTGAATTCTTTAGTTAAAAGTTTCGTGAAATTCAATTTGTGTGTTAAGAAATTTTAATATTTTTAACATACAAATTCCTTAATAACGCTTTCAAACTCTAAAGATTACTTCTAATGAAGGAAATGAAATAAAAACTTTTATTATTTCTATTAAAATTCTGCATAGGTAATTTATATTGAATGGAAAGAAAACTTTAAAAATATTTCAATGTAAAAAATACGATTATAAAAATTAAATGTTTTAGAATCAGGTAGTTACAGTTTAAAAACATTTTTCTTATTATAAAATTTTATGAATTTTTCTTAAAAATGGATATTCAATTTGAATACTGTGTGATTTTCTAATTTATTCTAAAGTAAATCAAAAAGGCAAGACTCAATGCTAATCAATTTTATTATTAATCAATAGTTATTATTAATCAGTAATCAATAGTTATTATTAATCATTAATCAATAGTTATTATTAATCAATATTTAATATTAATCAATGTTTTATAAATTTTAAAACAAGTTATAGCAGTTAATACTCTACTGCTGTATTTGATTCAAATGGAAATTAACGTTTTAACAAATTCATATAATTGGGAAGAAAATTTTTATTTAAAACAATTGTGAAACAATTTCATCATTATTTTTTTTAGATATGCAGACAAAAAATAATATTTTGAAATAAATAATATTTTTTGGGTGTCAGTTGAATGAGAAGAAAAATAAAATAATTACGTAAATATATATATATATATATATATTGCAAAAATTTTGATGGAATTGAATAATATGTTTTTTTTTATTTTTTAGTTTTTTAATTATATATGCTTTTTTCCCCAAATCTAAACTTACATGTATGTGTGAATATTAAAACTCAAAAGGGTAAAAAACCTCAGAATTTTTTTATATTTTTGTTAAATTTTTGCGTATTATTCCCAAAAGAAATTATTGACTTTGACTTGTATATATAAATGCTTAAATAAAATAAAAAGGTATTAAAACCACTTTCATATAATTTAATATTAGAACAAGATTCCTAAAATTAACTACCAAGGTTTTGATTATCCACTCGTTGAGAACATTAATAGAAAATACTATTTGTTTAAATCCATGTTTAAAGAATATTAAACCATATGTAATAGAGAAAGCTCTGATTACTTTATCTAAAAACTATCTAAAAGTTTCAGTTTTCTAAATAGTGATAACGATATATGCAAGC